CCAGCCGCTCCTACGGCGACTCCTTCAACGCCGTCGCCAGAGGGCTCGCCAAGCACCTGAGGGCCCTCGGCGCTGCTGAGGTGGTTCCGCTTTGCGAAGGCGACGTCGACGGTGGTGACGTGGACGCGGTTTTCGATCGGTGGTGTGCCAAGGTGGTTGAGGTTTTGAAAGGCGGTGGTGGTGATGATGTTGCCGCCGTGGAATATGGCGACGTTTCGAGTTCCGAGGAGGATTCTGATGGGGAGAGTGAGATCGTTGATCTTGAGGACATTGCTGGTAAAGCTCCTTCGCGGAAGTCGGTGGCTAATGGGGAGGAGAGTAATGGGAAATTGAATGGGAAAAAAGAAATGGTGACTCCGGTGATTCGAGCAAATTTACAGAAGCAGGTATATAATGTGGTTAATGTGATATTGTCACGTTGCAGTTTGTGTAATTCGTGCGTGGTTTGCATGAGTTGGCGTTGCCATGTTTGGCTGACGGAAAAAAAAAATGAGGCATTCCGTTGGATTGTAGTTTTTTTATGTTGCTTGATTAGTGATGTTTTAATTGCATGTCTGATTGAACTTTGGTAGATGGGAATTAGGGTTTAGGTTATTTTTCTTTAATTGGCTTTCTACGTGGATTACCAATTTGCAGGGGTATAAAATTATTGGATCGCATAGTGGTGTCAAGCTTTGTAGATGGACCAAGGCGCAGCTTCGAGGGCGAGGTGGTTGTTATAAGCACTCGTTTTATGGAATTGAGAGCCACAGGTATTGGCAATTTGACATACTGTTTACTTTTTGTTACGTGTCTAGTTATGTTTCATGCTACAGCGCTTTCGTTATCTTATAGCTGGTAACTCTAGGAGTCTGGTTGTTTGAATTTGTTACCATATTCATGATTGCCTACTGAATCTTAAGATGAAGCTCATTAATTATAATCATATGACACATTGAACCAGTGATGGTGTGAAATTCTCGATGTTGGAGGGTCTAAATTAAATTTCATAAAATGAAAAAGTACTGAATGGGTCAGGAAGAGAAAAGAAAGAGGGTGTGTCACCTTTGTTTGAAGATAACTTTGGGTTTGCAATATAATGATTTAAGCTTTTGAAAAGTGTGGTGGACTTGTCATTGCCACCCATCATCTGAAATTTGGCTATACTGTGGTTTGCTTTATCCTGGCCGTGGGTTTTAGTTGCGCTTTTTTGTGCTCATCAAAAAGTGGATTTATCATTTGTTTTATATGCCAGCCACCAAATTCATATGCTAATATTTGGGTCGAACAGATGCATGGAGGCAACCCCTAGTTTGGCATGCGCAAATAAATGTGTTTTCTGCTGGAGGCATCACACAAATCCAGTAGGGAAAAGTTGGCAGTGGGAGATGGATGATCCAATAGAGATTATAAATACTGCAATAGACCTGCATACAAATATGATTAAACAGATGAAAGGAGTTCCTGGTAAGTTTATGTTTCTATGCTGCAATTGTTTTGAAGTATAAGGCTATTGTCAGATCAATGGACCTACATAGGTCAATAAAGAAGCAGCTAATGTAGCCTTTGATATCTTGTGTACTACCAGTCACCATGCTCTCATTGAAAGGATTGGGTACATTAAGGGTGTGTTATGGTGAAGGAGTTTAGAGGGAAATAGAAGAGAGGGTAAAGTTTTCATTTCAAGTAAATTTTGTCTTGTTTGAAAACTTCTTTTCTAAATGGGAGGGTAAAGTTTTCATGTAACCTTTCAATCAACCCTTAGGAGCATTTTTTATCTCCCAATTCTAAAGCGGAAATTTAATTGTCCCTCTATTTTCGTTCAAACCTGTCCATTTAAACCATGCCCTCAATCAAAACTTAAATTATTATCTGGTTGGGAAAAAAAAGAATTTTCAATTTTGATGTTTTATTTAATGATTGTATTGTGATGTGAACACTGTCTTCAATCTAGATAGCACTATCTAATGCCTGTGCATTTGTATGGTAGCATGGCCCATTTGGACTTAATAATTTCCATACTTCTGTTCACTAAGTAATTTAATAGATAAAAGACAGAAAATTGGGCACAAGTACCCTGTTATCTATCCATTATGACAGATACTGGGTAGAGCAGTCCAACCCTGCCGCACATCATTGTGTTGTCTAATTAATCTCTAAATTGGCAAATTTAACTCTTTCTATAGGAGTCACCTTGGAGCGATTAAATGAAGGTCTCTCACCACGTCATTGTGCATTATCTCTTGTTGGTGAACCTATTATGTATCCAGAGATAAATGCACTTGTGGATGAACTGCACAAAAGGAGAATTTCCACTTTTCTGGTTACAAATGCACAATTTCCAGATAAAATTAAGTCACTGAAACCCATCACCCAGGTTTTGTGGCTTTCTGAGTTTCCAAATCAAGCACATGTTGGTTATGTTTATACTAGCCAAACTTAAATATTTTTGTTTTCCTCTTTCAGTTATATGTCAGTGTAGATGCTGCAACAAAGGACTCTTTGAAGGCCATTGATAGACCACTCTTTGGAGATTTCTGGGAGCGATTCATTGTAAGTATTTTCCCATTCTGAGTGAAAATTTACAAGTTCCCTTTCATAGTAGAATGAAATTGAGTTTTAAGAAGTGTGTTAAGATCAAGGTTATCAATAAGGTTATACGGCGATGGCGGCAAGGACCTTTAAGTGCCATATTGCCATGGTGGATGCCATGGCGGTCTATGGCGGACAAAAAAAAAAAATATATATATATATATATATATATAATATGATGCAAAAACAGAAAAATAACAAACACATATTAAAACCAACAATATAACAATCTAAAATTCATGGCATTCATAATGTAGTGATAGTCATCATAAAGAAACATAAATTCCTAACCAACAAAAGGATTAAATGGCAACGGCGATGGAAGAAAGTCCTATCGGAGGTGACGGTGGTGCGCGCGGAGGTGACGGTGGCTCGCGGGGAGGTTAGGGTGGCGTGCGGGGATGTTAGGGTGGCACGGCAATGGTGCACGCGGAGGGGGAGAAGAAAGTCACGTCGTACGTTATGGTGGCGGCAGCATCAGAGGCGATGGTGGCAGGCGGAGGCGACGGTGGCAAGGGGTCTTGTTGGAGCAGCCGCGGGTTGCACGGAAGAGAGACTATTATGTATTAGGGTTTCTGCAACCCTATTTTATGTGTTGGGTGCCCAACCCGGGAAAGAAACCCGGGCCCAAACCGAAAAAGAAAAAAAAATGGCCTAAATCAGAAAAAACAAAAAAAAAATGGCCCAAAACGGCGCCATGTCCGCCATTCACGCCATGGACCGCCATGCCTAAACCGCCATAACGGCCGTAACGGCCGCCATCTTCAAAATGGCGGATCCCCGCCATACACAGCCTAAACGGCCATAACGGATCGCAGCCACCGTCGCCATACCTTTACGTCATAACGGCTATTTAACAACACTGGTTAAGATGGAGCATAGATTATATATTTTAAAAAGAAAATCTAACTACTCCAAGCAGAAGCTTAACAAAACTACAGAAGTGCCTTTTCTGTTGTCTAAGCTTTTTAGGATCTGTAGTTCATGGATAAATAATAGACCTTTTCCCCTCCATAATTGTCAATTCTAAAGCATGGATGTCGGTGCCGGATCCCAAAAAAGAAACCGTGGGTATACTAGTAAGTGAATAGCTAATCATCATTGGATAGGTCTTAGGCTCTTAGCTATGATCATTTAAGCCTTTTCGTAAACAACCAATCAAATTTTTAACAGCTCTTCTGACATAGCAATGAAATTCCACAATAAGTGGCAAGGGCAAGTATAAATTTGTTTCTCTTTCCTTTTTGGTTGTCTTGATATGAACTCAATAGAGAATTTCTCAAAGTAGAGAGTATAAATAATATTTATAGAAATGTTAGCAACATATTCTTCCAAACACACTCATAACTATTGGCTAAAATTTATTGGGATTTACTGCAATATACAATTTTCACTCCCTCTATAATGGCCACTTCTAATTTTGTGATTTCTATAAATTACAGCTGTAGAGTAATTCAGGAAGTGTGTAGTTGACACTCCACTTTTTACAATGTAAGATGAGGGTTCACCTTTTAAGTTTTCAACTAGAAGTTGAGGATCGATTGAAATATGAATCTGACAGATAGGTTAGTAATAATTCATGAAGGAGATTATCATTTTCTACCCTTCAACTAGATGCCAAATCTAGAAATATGGCTTTTGTGGTTGTCATAGATGTTTTTTTTTCTTGTTAGAACCCCTTTTTTCATTATAAAGAATGAAATTGATTGGTTGACTTCTAGCAAGTATCAATAATAGTAGTAGTAGATACTATTTGATGACAGACAGAGAACAATTAATTTAGTTTCTTTCTTAAAAAAAAGAATTATCTATGAATTTTAAATTTCATAACTGTTTATGTGCCAGGATTCCTTGACTGCTCTAAAGCAAAAACATCAGCGAACTGTATACCGCTTGACCCTGGTGAAAGGTTGGAATACTGAAGATATTGATGCTTATTCTAAGCTCTTTAGTATAGGAGAACCTGACTTTGTTGAAATCAAGGGAGTTACGTATTGTGGCTCGTAAGTCTCCTCCTTTCTCTCTCTTTATCCCCTTTATAGTCCGGTGCTTCAGCTGGCTTTTAGTCTAATACCCACTTTTAAATGACAATGAGTTCTTTACAGGTCCACTACATCAAAATTGACAATGGAAAATGTCCCTTGGCATACTGATGTCAAAGCTTTCTCTGAGGCCCTAGCTTTAAAAAGTCAAGGAGAGTATGAAGTTGCATGTGAGCATGAGCACTCGTGTTGCGTCCTCTTAGCAAAATCTAATAAGTTCAAAATTGATGGCCAGTGGTATACCTGGATAGACTATGAAAAATTTCATGATCTGGTAGGCATCCGAATCCTACTGTTCTTTTGGACCCACTTGGATTTTGTGATTTTGTTTATGAAATTTAGCCTTGATTTATTTGCAGGTGGCATCTGGAAGAACATTTGACAGCAGAAATTACATGAGTGCCACACCATCCTGGGCCGTCTATGGATCAGAGGAAAGTGGATTTGATCCAGGACAATTGAGATACAGGAAAGAGAGACATCACAAGTCTAGCCGCAATCAATCAGGTTAGACATATAAGAGCCGTTGGCAGCCAACATTAATTTTCCTGTTGATCCTTTTTCCTCAGTGTATACCTCAGTAGGTTATACAACATCAATAGGATAGTTTTGTAATACGTGGCTTCATACATAGGTTAGTACCATTTCAGTGTATTTAAGACCTGATGTTTTCCCAATCGGCAGTTCAACAAATCATTTTATAATTCTTATTTACCCCAAATAGTACTTTGGATGTCAATGTTGAGGTTGCAGAAGCAATTTGTTTTCGTGATTGAGATTGGAAGAACATGTTTTAGCTTTTTACTGCACTAAGCATTACTTAGTGTTGCTCTGTTGTAATTTTTTAGTAAATTCTTTCAGTTGGTTTTTCTGGATAGGAGTGTTAGGTGGAAATATTATATTACAATTATACAATACAATGCAATATCATGTACCCAAGTATTTACAATTTCATTAATATTTGTTAAAAGAGTAAACATCTTTGGTCCTTGAAAGATTCTATTGACATCATTTGTCTCTTAATCTTATTTCTATACGCAAACGGTGAAATTGAAAATTTAAATTAATGTCATTATCTATTATTAAAAAACTAAAGTGATGTCAACCTCCTATGATCGAGGGTGCTGAGTTAATGCCAATTTTTGTTATTAAGGGAGTCAAATAATGTTAAAGTTTTTAGAGAATTAAATTAACTGATGTCACATGCCTTTTAGGATCAAATTGATGCCAGTCTTTATTCTTTATTTAGTGCTCCTACCATCTACTACAACTGCAATATATTATTAAAGTAAAAAATATTGGTATCACGTGCCTTTTAGGATCAAAACTCCCTTAATATGCACTGCACTTTTGGAATTGTTGGTTGAGTCATACACTCGGACTCATTGGTCACCCCTATTAATTAGTGCTACCATAATGCCTACACAATTGTACCGACATAGCGTTTTCACGCTTTTTACCTTACGTGATTTTTGTTGGTCCCATCTTGTGCTATTATTTTTTTTCATACTTTTACTCTAATTTGGCTTCACACGAGATTTTGCGAGAAGCATTATTTCTTATTTTGGTTTGCTAGTATTACTAGTCAGATTTCCCTTTTTCCCTCGAAACATGCTTTCGCACAGCGGCTACTATGTTCTGTCAATTTTCCTTAGCGGTCCCTTTCAATAATAATCCATCTGCTATCTATCTTTTGACTGAGGACAACTTTGGACCACTATAGAATCGTCTGATTTGAATCCTAATTCACATCAATCTAGATTACTTTCATAATTAGCCTCCAATATTAATTTTGTACCACATAATCATACACCCCAAAGTAAAGTAGTAAACTGAAAGTTGTTCATATAGTATAGCTTCCCTACTTTCACTTGCCTGCTCTTGAAAAATTATTGAATTGAAACATTGGAATCTAAGCAGCATGACATTGTTTTGTATATAGTAATATGTATTTGATTTATTCGTCGTTAATATGAACGGGAAAACAACAGAATGAGCCTGTGAATAAATCCCAACATCTTAATCTCAAAAATAAACTAAACTGGTAACATCTTTTAAGTTTAGATTATAAGAATAATATCTTTATCTATTAAAACATCCCAAGATTAGAAATATAATTAGCAAAATCTTAAAAACTAAATTATCCATTTTCAAGCTGTAGATATTTAGACATTTTATACACAAGTGATATGTTTAATTTTCTTAAATGAGATTTCAGATTCAGTAATTATGAATAGGAAAAAGTTCTTGTTGGAAAAATTAGTTTCTTTGTGTAGTGAATGTTGTCAACTTGAACAGGATTATGTGCAGGATTCATGTGGTCTATGTCAAAACTTCCGAGAACGAAATATGGTACTGTGTACAAACTGCAAGGAACACCGTTTCTAGGTCCCCCACAAAGTTATTTAAACCGATAGTGTCTTTGGGACAGCACTGCGTTTTGTTGGTCTCAATTAATTAACAGTTTTTAAAATCAAAATCTTTCTCCAATTGGGACAAAAGATAAATACAAATGGAGGTAAATTACAAGATTGACCTAACCAAGCATAAAACACCACTAGACTCGTATAGAAGACATGACCAAACGCACTAAAACTACAAGTTATGTCTGACAAAAATTGTGTAGTTAGCTAAAAGTTAAATAATAAATTGAAGAATGAAAAGTTGGTTTATATGTTTTATGTTGAAAGTTGTTAGGTGTAAGTTAAAAGTTGTTAAATTAGCTTTTGGAACTGTTTGGTAAAATTAATTGTTAGTAAGTGTAAAATAACATGTATGTAATAGTTTTTATTCGTATTTTGTAGACCAATATATTTTGTGACTGTAGACGCTTTTAGTTAGTTTTGAGCTTTTATTTATTTGTCTTTTATTTATTTATTTATTTATTTAAGTACCAAATAATTTATTGGAAAATAAAATAAATGGTAAAGATGGGGTAATATTTAAAATAAGTAATGTAATATCAAAGGATTTTTTTTTATCAAAATAAATAGCATAATATTAAAGGATGGGTAAAAGAGAAATTTTATTAAAATTACAAGGTTAAATAAAGTATAAAAAAGAATAATTTATAAGTTCAAATGATACTTCACGTAATGTTTCAAAAACATGTTATACACTAATTAAATAAACATTTTTTTATCTAACATTTATATTTTGTTCAAATAAACATAATAAAAGTCCTTCCAGTGGAGATGGTTCTTGAAAATCAACTCTTAGTAGCAATTCTTTATATAGCAAACGTGTATTTAGCTCCTGTATAATGAAGGATGTATTTTAGAAAATAAAGTATACTTATAGATGTTAGAAAATTAACAATAAAAAATTGTGATAAAATAACATACATGTATAATAAAATCAATAATAATAAATCACTCTTAAGAACAATTCTTATATAACAAACACATATTTAGCTCCTTTAGAATGAAGGAATATATTTTACAAGATAGTGTATAATTACAATTGTTAGAAAATCAACAATAAAAAAAATTATGATAAAATAAAATATATGTATAATAAAATAAAAAATTAATTATAATATTTACTATTAATTTTAATTAATAATTATTTATTATACTTTTTTAAGGGAAATATTCTCATTTAAGTCAAATCGAGCAAATGTATCGCTACCACAATTTTTTTTTCAACAAATATACATGGTTGGAGAGCTTTGCAATTAAAGTGAAACACGTGACGTGTTTCACTTTAATGTGTGACACATGTTTAAGTAAGGTCAGGGGTTCGAATCTTGTCTTGTGTATGCAGTCGCGTTAAATCTTGGGGCTAGCTATCCCACCCTTTGAGGTGCCTCCAACGTAGCGAGGAGATTAGTCACTGCTGTCGGCGATAGATATTCCAGGAACGAAAAAAAAAAAAAAAAGTGAAACACGTGAGTGCGTTACTTGCAACTTGCAACTTGAAAGTAGCAGCAACTATTTTTCGGTCCCACCAGTTTATTAATATTTCTTTGTACCAATTTTCACAGATATAGAAGTGTGCAATTATGATTTATGTAATATTTTCTTGTAAGTTATTGGTTTGAAGTAAAAAAAAAAAAATTTAAATTAAATTAAATTAAATTAAATTGTTTTAAATAATAGAAACTAATGTTTTGGGGAGAATTTGTATAAAATTATTTTTAAAACCTCACGAAAGTTGTTCCATTTAAATTATCCGGAATTAGTCAAATAAGTTATCAATTAATTGAAATAACTAAACAAACACTAAAAAATGTTACTGTATTTTATACTACGATAACCTTCATCTGGAATCTTCTAATTGTCACTGAATGGTTGACCTTCCTATATTGCGTCGGTGTCATCTATGAACAACTGGTATGTGCCTTTTATCATTCTAGGTTTATATTTTAAACTATTTAATAAAGTGAAATTGTTTTAAAACAATCTTTATTTTGGAGTTGTTAATGAGTAGTGTCATTAGTTAACGATACGACACTAGACACCAATTTAAAAAAAAAAAAATTTTCAAAATTATTTAAAGTGTGTCACGTTGCGTCAATGTGAAAGACATTATAACTAATAGTTATAATTATTATTATTATTATTATTTTTTATTCTATGTGATTGTAGTCTACAATGATGGTTTTTTTTTCTTCGTATTTGTCATTGTAGAATACAACATTTCCATCATTTAATAGCGATTTTTTTATTTATCATTGGAGATTATAACAATCCTCTCTATATATATATAAAAGATTATATATGTTTTTGTGTACATATTTTAAGATATTTTTATCTTTTATTTATTTTGATAATCACAAATCCTCTTCTTTTAATGTGAGACAATTCAATAATTTTATTTATCCAAAACGGTTTCTTTTATAATAAATTACAACTTTCTTGTAATTTTATAACTTTCACAGGAATTATATTCACAAGGTACGAAGAAGTATCTTTATTTTGCTAGTATATATATAAGGGTCATCCATTACCACAGATTATACACATTTGTAAGCTTTTTGAGATTTTGTAGCATTTGAATTATTTTTGAACACCATTTTGTCATTATTATTTATTTTTTGTAGTGTTTCTAGTATTAATTTATAATATTTTTCCTAGATAATTGAAAAAGGATATGGATTAAATTATAACTTCTATTTACATTGAAAGGATGTTTGAAGATTTTGAAGGTGTTATATATGATGAACAAAAAAGGAATGTATATTAAACAAGGTTTAACTTTAGATACCTTAAAAAAAAGGATTCATAACAAATTTTCTCTTCAAGATGATCAAGTCATAACATCTAAAAAAGACAGATTTTTAGTTCCAACACATGAAGGCAAAAAATAATCAACACTGGAATTGAGTGGCAATGATGATGTATAGTGCATGATGGAAACATTTGAGATTTTGAAGCATTTAAATAATTTTTGAACACCATTTTGTCATTATTATTTATCTTTTGTAGTGTTTCTAGTATTAATTTATAATAGTTTTCCTAGATAATTGAAAAAGGATATGGATCAAATTATAACTTCTATTTACATTGAAAGGATATTTGAAGATTTTGAAGGTGTTACATTTTATGAACAAAAAAAGAATGTATATTAAACAAGGTTTAACTTTGGATACCTTAAAAAAAGGATTCATAACAAATTTTCTCTTCAAGATGATCAAGTCATATCATCAAAAAAATATAGATTTTTAGTTCCAACACATGAAGGCAAAAAATATTCAACAGTGGAATTGAGCGACAATGATGATGTATAGTGCATGATGGAAACATTTCGTAGTCAAACAGCTCTA